ATATTAAAAAACAAAACAAAACATGGTTCCAGACTGTGAAAGAGAATGCAGATATAAATTTATGAACCTGTGTAAGCGATTTACTGAGTTTGTGCCAGAGCTGCTTAGGAGAGAAACCGAGGTGGTTCCAGAGACTCAATGGTCTTCTTTGAGTGAGATCAGGCCTTCTCTTGTGGTTTGAGCTGAGACCTAATCTCACTCCCAGGTAAAGAGTTCATTCATTCTTGTAGATTCCTTGTATGCCCTAATATGCATAACTTCAGTTCTGTTTGATATTTGCTTGGGTAAATAGGTTTGTTATTTGTAAAGGTCTTTTGTGTTTGGTGAGAAGAAACTAACATGGTGAGTCTAAACCAGGGCTGGAGAACCTTCGGCCTTGAGGCCGTACGTGGCCTTCTAGATCCTTATGTGAGGCCTTTTGACTGAATCCAAATTTTGCAGAATAATATTCAGTCAAAAGTCTGCACTTAAGAATCCAGAAGGTCACATGTGGCCTCAAGGCTGCAGGTTCCCCACCCCTGGTCTAAAGTAAGGGCTATCTTCCCCTTTAAGAGTGACCAGGGAAGCAGCTTTCCTTCTGAACCAGTCTTGTACCTCTAGATTACTGATATTTGAGGGAGCAGAAAGATAAAATTCTAGTCCAATACCCTTCCTGGAAATAGGGGAGGAAAGCAGCAAGCACCCAGTCATGGCCCTTCTGTTACCCTCAAGATAGAAATCACAATCTCCTCCTTGGAAAACGGTGGTCGGTGGCAGCTAGGTGGTACAGTGGATAGAGTACTGGCCCCTGTATTCAGGAGAACCTGAATTCAAATCTGACCTCAGACATGTAACACTTACTAGCTGTGTGACTCTGGGCAAGTCACTTAACCCCATTGCCTAGCCAAAAAAAGGAAAGGGGTGGGCCACATTCTAGAGATATCCAACTAATCCACCAATGAACTGCTTCTTTATAGTTAGTCTGGGTAGACATACATGGACATACCATCTATATGTTACATGAAGCATGCATATATTACATATATAAGCATCTTCAAATGTTTTCTAAATCTTTCTCTTTGCCAACACTAAACACATAACCCAGGGTAGGTGGAAGTCCAATTTTAAAAATTTTTTTGCATTAATCAAACACATGGACATACATAGAACTCAAGGGGAAGGAGCACATCAGGATATAAACAATGTGAGTTTTGACAAACAACTCAGAGAGCCTCCTATCTCTTCCTTCCCTATATGTTCCTGGAGTGGAGTATCATTGAATATTTAAAAGATATACTCGTGTGAAGATATCCAAGAACCAGAGGTAGAAAGTATTTTGGAGAGCATTTAGGTAAAGATCACCAGAAACAGAAAGAGGATTGATGCTATCATTGGAATATAAGGTAGTCCACCTAGATAGAGAGAGGAAATAGATGAGGAATCTGGAAGCAGATCACAAACTTTGTACACAGGCAATGGTATAGTAGTTCTGGGAGACTTCAGTTATCTGGGTTATCTGGTGAAGCTTGTCCTCTTCCTAAAGCAGAGTAGCTAATTTCATTTGCTTTGATTATTTCATTCTTCAAAAGGTGGAAGAACCAATGAGGGGAATGTCTATTCTCATCTGACACTGATCAAAAGGAAGAACTGGTTGCTGGGGTAGAAATGAAATGAATCTTGGGGGGAAGTGACCGCTACATCTTGTAGTTTGTGATAAAAAGGAGGAAAGCAAGGCATAATCTGACACATACCCTAAATTTCTGAATCACAGAGTATGGCAGGAGTAATATATAATATATAATGAATATATAATCTAAAGTGAAGCCAGATTGTGAAGGGCTTTAAAAGCTGGAGAAGTGTGTTTATATTTTAATTGATTCAGTAGGGAAGCCACATGTTCTTCCATTAAGGAAACTCAGTTTGTCAGCAGGGATGAACTGGAGGAAGGAGAAAATTGAGGCAGGGAGACCAATTAGGGACTGTTGCAATAATCTAGGTGAGAGGTGATGAGGATCTGAACTAAGAAGCTAGCTGAATAGAAAAAAAAAGTCAGATTCAAGCTATGTTGAGGTAGAAATGGCAAGATATGGCAAGATTTGGCAAGGGGTCATATATATGAGGTGAAGGAGAGTGAATTGTGGAGGATAATGCCAAGGTTATGAAGCAGGGTCACCTTCATGCAACATATGATTAGACATCAGAAGGAATCTTTTATAGAAGTCCACCCTGGCTAAATAGGAAGAGCTCTCACCGTTGCAAGGTTAGCCACCAGCAACTCAACAAATCATCACTAGAGCATGGGAGGTTTTGCAATCCACGGAAGTGAAGGAATTTATGAAATCACAGGCCTTTTGAAGTAGACGTGGACCAGTTAACGCAAGAAAGAGGTACTGTTATTCTCCAGCAGAAATTTTGTGGGTCAGAGGAGATTAATTTGACAACTGTGTCTAAACTCGGTCCTTGCGTCTGGAATGGGCTCAGAGGCACATTGCCCTGGCGCCTTGGACCAGCCTTTGCTACACAAAGCTTCCTCCCTCCCACCCCAGGGCTCAAGCTGTTGCCGGGTGGGGGGGAGGGTGAAAGCTGGGGAGCTCAAGCAGTTGGTGTTATAAGCAGTTTCACTTTTGCCCTTATATATTCAATGTTGCCCTAATATACTACATTACACAAAACCCTGAGACTAATGTTTAGAAGAGAAGCTTTTTTAATAAAGACAAATACAGCAGCCCTGTATGTTTACGGTTTTAAGAAAGACGTTCGATATTATGTGTTCTAATTTATTCTGATTACTACCCCGTTGGACAGGTAATCCAAGCTTTTGGGTTTTTTTAATTAATAGGGAAAATGTTGAGTCTCGGTGTTTGCATGAATTTCTGAGAACTTGACTTAAATGCTCCTTCCTAGTACTGTCATTTTTCTTTTGGCTGCGTTGTATTAGAAGATGAACTCCTTAAATAATCTTCTTTTTAAAAACTGCAAAGGAAAAAAAGGGAGCGAGCCGGTCCGACACTTAATCTCTAAACCTGGGAAGCCGAGGAGAAGGGGTGGGGGAGGGGCGCAGGAGAGGCAGGCGGCACGCGGGCGAAGAGGGAGGGGCTGCCTCCGGCTCAGGTTGGCTGGGCGGCCAGGCCTGGCGAGGTCTGGCCAGGCCCAGGAGGTAGAGCTAGGCCCTCTCCTGGCCTTGGACGCGCTGCAGCCGAGAGGATCAAGACACGCCGGCGGCACTTTAAACACACCCACTCTTGGGGTGGATAAACTGGACTGGGGAGGAAGCAGCAGAGCCCAGCAGGGGGCGGGCGACCGAGTTACTGACATCCTCAGGGACCAATCAGCAGCGTGACCGGCCAGGGTGGGCCGAGCTTGGGGCTGGGGGCACTCGGACGCGTGGCTATTTTAAGTCTTTTGGTTCTTTAGCCCTCACGGTCAGATCAGGTGTTTGACGGTTGGGTTGTGGGGAGGGTGGGGAGGGGGAGGCGGGGAGGAGTGGGAAGTATGAATGCGTCCCCAGGACCCGCGAAGGAAATCCTGTGGGAAGGAAATCACGAGTGGGAGCTACGGAGTGCGTACAGTGAAGCCCGAGTAGGGAGCTAGGGGAGGGGGAAGGGGAGAAGGCGGGAGGATTGGGGAGCTGGGAAGGAGGGGCGGGAGGCAGGCCGCCTCCCTCCGGGAGCAGCCAATGCCCGGTCGCCCTGGGGGTCAGGTGATGTGTTACTAGGCAGATTCTCCTTAGGCTTAGCTGTCGGAGGACCGGTTTCACTTCTCTGTTCTGCTTTCTTTTCCTTTCCCAGTGCCTTGATTCTCTCGGGAATGTGAGGGCAGTCTGAGAAAGGCGTGTTCTAGCGAAGCGTTTGCTTGGTGGGGTGGAGGGACCGGGGGTCGAGGAAGGTCATGTGAGCCCCCAGGAGCTGAAAGCCCATGGCGGGGGGGGGGGGAGTGGGGGGGAGGACTGGTTTCCCCTAATTGCGCCTGCGCAGGCATTTGAGACTTGAATGTCGTTGCCCCTGGCGATGTTGGCAAGGGCGCTTGGGCAAGTGTCCAATCAAGGGCTCTGACAACTCAGGGCTCCCCCTATCGACCCCCGGCCCAGAGTCCCTGGTCTTTTAGGCCTTCCATGGTCCTCTAACAAGGAGGAAATGTTGGCAGTTCAGTGCAGTATCCAATTCCAGAGCAATACAAACCAGCTCTGTCTGCCACAGGGCAGCCTTTGTCTAGTCTTGAAGCCTACATACCTGGCTCCTGCCTGCGCAACTTCTGCTGCCTCTGGCAACAAACAAAGATTTATTAAGGCAGAAAGCTGAACCTTTAGGCATAGAGAAAATTGACTTAATTGAAAGTAGATTACGTTTTCTAATGGAAACAGGGTTTAAGTTCCTTTTTTTACTTTTTAATATATATGCAGAATTTAAAGTTTGTTGGATTTTATGTTTTTAGGTAGCTGTGTTGAAGATTTGTTACCAGCAGTAAAAATTTAAATCCTGGGGCAATTATCAAAAGATTGGGAAAAGCACTAGAGAGACACTCAAGCCCAAAAAATAGATTTTTAAATTGTAAAGGGAGGATATGTAATGGCACTGATTATTATGATATAACCCTGGGCTCCTTGGTTCTTGGTCTATAGGGATTGCCTTAGATGTAGTTATGCTTATGGTCTTTTATCTTTTCAAAGACTTAAAAATTCAAAGAGGGCCTCATAGTCAAATTTCTAGAACAGTAACTAAGTAGCTTTGCTACTCATAAATTGGCAACTAGTTAACAGGTTTGGTGCCCAGGCTGTGTTTTGGGGTCTTCAAAATAGAACAAGCAAGATAGGCTAGGGAATCAGAATGTAGCCCATCTATCAGATTCACTTCATTTGGGCCAGACCTTAGGTATATCAGCTCTTCTTTCCTCCTTCAGAGTTCCACCCTTCCCCCAGATGCTAACCTGCCTTGGCGTTTCAACCATAAGATTCAACATTTTTTTGATTCTACCTGCAGAGTTCCAAGTTTTCCTCACTAACTGCTATCTGCATTATTTTCCAGGAGACACAATTCCTCTGGAACATGTTATAGAAGCAGTTTCCTTGTGTATGACTATTTTCTCAACAAGAATGAAGCATCCATAGGAGACAAGTATACTGCAAGTGCTGGGCCATGCAGAATATTCCTACTGGGGCAGACTGATCTCTTAAGTCTATGATAGTTACCTTGATGGATAAAGGGCCGTTGCCATCTTCCTTACATGGAAAATCTGGCAGCCAGTAGAAAACAGGAAGAGATCACCAGCATGATTCTAAGGGAACAGCCAACCAGTACCTGGAGGTGAATGGAGTTCTTGCTACAAAATCTTTGGCCTATTCCTTATCCATACAGATGCCTAGGCTTAAAGATTAGGAACATCCAGAGTATACAGACCAGAAGCAGGTACAAGTGACCCCAGCTGAATTCCCGAGGCCTACAGGAGTATTAAGAAAGAGGAATCAAGGAGACAGGTGAACTTTTTCTTTTCTCTGACTTTGGCCACAAGCCATGGACCCTGTTGGACATAGAACTGAGCTTTCCCAAGTGGTAGATGGAACCCTTCTCCGTAAATAGGATAATTGAGGCTGCCCTCCAATGCCATTTCAAGAGTTTTACATGGATAAGCATAGCACAGTTGACCCTATGGACCTGTTTCCTTAACAGCATTAAGGTCATATTCCATTATAACCAAACAGTTGAGTCTTCAGGGATATACATAAACAATTCAAAACAGTTGATCAAACAAAATGAGATCTCTTTCAATTCAGTTTTTCCATGAATAACATTTGTTTGTTCCATAGTAACGTAAAAAAAGGTGAGATTTTTGATATTTGACAAAATGTCTTCTTCTGAAGGTCATACAGGTACTCATACCTTAAGCTTGCTTATATTTCACATTCTGGTAATTCAGTTTGACAATTCAACAAACATTGATTAAGCATCCACTTTGTGCAGAGCATTGTACTAAATGCTGGAAGAGATAGAATTTGGATAAGGTCATTGCCTTCATGAACCTTACAGTTTAGCAGGAGGATATTTCCATAAACAGATAACTGAGGTGCACAGCAAAGTACCATATGAGACGTGAAGGAAAGTAATTGTTCCCAAATGGGATGATTGCTCAGGGAGGACTCCTTGGAGGAAGCAGAATTTGGTTTGGATTTTAAAGAATGGATAGGTCTTTTATCAGTGAATGAGGATAGGAAATTTTCACTCGAACTTGCCATCACCTCAAATTGTCATCTTATTCACCCTTTGCACCCCTAAATTCTTAGAGTAGTCTTTACTCTCACTCTGTTTTCTCACTGCCTATTCATTCCTCAACTCCTTAAGGTCTAGCTTCCATTCCCCTCAGTCTGCTGAAATTGTTCTCTCGAAGTTCACCAGTGATCTAATGGCTAAATCTCAAAGGCTAATCTAACAACCTTTTCCTTGTGTTCATTCTCCTTGACCTTTCTGTAGCTTTTGACACCATTGGTTACTCCCTCTTCCTTTGGTTTCCATGGCACTCTTCTCTCCTGGTTATCTTCCTGTCACCACTCCTCAGTCTCTTTTGCTTGATCATCGTTTTCTCCTGACCTGATAAATTTAAGTGGCCTCCAAGTCTCTGTCCTAGGTCAGTCTCCTCTCCTTCAATTTGTTCTTTCTTAATGATCTTATAAGATCTAATGTTTAATTATTACCTCCATATAAAAAATTCTAATTCTGTATTCCTAGCTCTAATATCTCTTCTGAACACTAGTTTTGCATCTCCAAATGCCTATTTAATATGTCTATCTAGATGCAGAATCTCTAGTTCAAGATGTCCAAAATGGAACTCGTTTTTCCTCCTAAACCCTCCCCTCCTCCAAATTTCCTATTTCTGTTTAAAGTACCACCTTCTTCCTAGTCACCTGGGCTTGAAACCTCTGGGTTATCTTTGCCTGGTTGATCTCCATTGCCACTAGATCCAGTCACTTGACAGTCCTGTCAATTCTCCCTCTCCAACATCTCTTGTGTAGGTTCCCTCCTCATCTCTCTTGCTGCTACCACACCTCATCATCTCTCATTTTGACTGTTGTAATTATTTCCCAATTGGTCTCCATGCCTGTGGTCTACCTTTCCGACCCTTCCTTGGTACAGCTGCAAAATAAGCCACACTTCTGAGCATGACACTCCTTTGTTTAAAAACCTCCAGGGATTCCCTAATACCACTAGAATAATATGAAAACTCCTTGTCATTTATGATTCTCTGCAGCTTGACTTCAACCTGCTGCCTAACCTTATTTAGCAGCTATTGGCTATGACCCAGATGCAACATTCTATCCCCTGCCTCCATAGTCATACGGGATGTAATGTGTTTCCTTCTCATTTCAGAACTGTTACCACTTCAGAAAATCCAATTCAGAGTTTGGTTCAAAAGAAACTTATGTGCAAGGCTTTATAACTGGGCACTCAGATCATAGAAACATAAATGAAATGGGTCCTGCCCTCAAAGAGCATATGGTTTACTAGAGTTGTAGGACGTACACACAAGTAAAAGGTAGAAAATTGGAGAGACTAAACAGAAGTCTAAAGAAGGTGCTTTAGGAATATTTGAGGAAGCAGAGAAGGGATCAGAGAAGCCTGCCCAGAGGAGGTGGCACCTAAGCTGAGGCTTGTGGAAAGAAGAGGAAACTGGAAGGTGAAGATGAGGAAGGAAGGGATTCTGGACATGAGGAATGGCCTGTGCAAATGCAAGAGCAAAGGAACTGGGTGCTGACCTCAGGGGCTAGCTAGTGGTCCAGTTGGCTTGACTGTAGAGTATATGAGGGTAAAGAATGTGCAAATAAGTCTCAAAAGGTAAGTTGGAGCCACATCGGAAAGAACATGGAATACTAAGCTAAAAACTTTGTATTTTAGCCAGTTTGAAGCTGATAAAGGAGAGTTACATGATCAGACCTGTTCCTTAGGAAGATTATTTTGGCAACTATGTGAAGAAAGCATCAAAGAGAAGAGATAGTGGAGGCAGGGAGACCACTTAGGAAGCTATTACAATAACCCTGGTCGATGATGATGAGAGTCTGAAATAGGGTAATAACATTGTGGGTGGAGAGAAGGGGACCCATTTTAGAGGTAATATCATCTCATCAGCAACTGATTGAAATGGGAGATAAGAAAGAATAAAGAACTGGTGATGACTGAGGATTCAAACATGGATTCCTTAGAGAATAGAACTTCACAGAAATAATAAAGTGTAAGGAATGGATATGCTGAGGATTCAAGGTTAAGAGTTCAGTATTGTACATGTTGAGTTTCAGGTGCTGGCAGAACTGTAGGTTCTTGTGAGGTAGAAATATTAAACAGACTCTTAGACTGATGTCCCGGAGAGAGGATGAGTGTATAGGGCATGTTCAAGGGACAGAGAGTGGGCCAGTTTGACTGGAGTACCTATAGCATGGGATAAGACCAGAAAAGTTGGGTGGAATCAAATTGTAAAATGTCTAGAATACCTGGCAAAGGAGTATGAATTTTACTTAATATTCAGGAGCCATTGACAATTTTTTAGTGACATGAACAAATCATTGCATAAAGAAGATTAGTTTGATGATTAGTGTGAAGAATGAATTGGAAAGGAAAAAGAGTAAAGATTGTGATATCTGTTGTGGTAGTTTAGATGACTGAAACTATGTTAGGGTAGTAGCTGTGGGAAAAGAAAAGGAGAAGGATGTGAGATATATTGCTGAAGTACAATCAACAGGACTAGGTAACCACCTAGAAATGAGAAAGAAGAGTCAAAGATAATACCAGAATTTCAACTATGGGAGACTGAGTGAATAGTACTGGCAATGAGTAGACTCAGGAGTAAGGGAAGAGGTTTAGGGGGAAGGTTATAAGCTCTGGTTCAGATATGTTAAGTATGAGGAGCTGGTAGGACACCAGATAGAAATGTCCTGTTGACAGTTTCATTTCTGGAGCTTGGAAGGAGAGACAGAGGCTAAAGAAAAGAGACTTGGGAGTCACCTGTGTATTAGTGATAGTTGATGTTGGGGGTGGATATGATTGTGAAGGGACAGAGAGAGAAGGAAAGAGTGCCAAGGGCAGAATAAGGAGTTTGGAAGAGGCCAAGGAGACAATGGAAGAACCAGGGAGGAGCAGTTAGAGATAAGACACCCAGAGGAAGGGAAGAGAGAATATTCAGGAGGAACAGATGGTAACAGTGTCATATGTTGTACAGAAGTGGAGGAGGGAGAAGAGAAGAGGAAAATGTCGTTGGATGTAGTTCTGGGAAAGTAACTGGTGACCTGGAAGAGAGCAGTTTCAGTAGAGAGGTGGGAACGAAACAGAATTGCAAATGTTTTAGGAGAAAGTAAATTATTAGGAGATGGAGACATTGAGTGTTGATAACTTTCTCAAAACGTATGGCAGTGAAGAGAAAGAGAAAGGATCTAGGGAAGACTTTTTTTTTTTTTTTAGGATAAGAGGTGCCCAAGCATGTTTATAGGCAGTTAGGAAGAAACCAATGGTAAGGGAAAAATTGAAAATACATGAGACAATAGGGACGATTGCTGAAATGAGGTCCTAGAGGGAGAAGAGAAGGGTTGAGATCAAGGATATGGATAGAGGGATTAGCTTTAGTGAGAAATAAAAATGTCTTTTATTCTGAGATTAGAAGGAAGGCAAGGAGAGTGGGTATTGGTGCTAAGAAGTTTGGAGGAGGAGAGTTGAGGGAGCTCTGTTTGCATGATTTCAGTCTTCTCGATGAAGTAGGAATTATTTGGGAAGATTTGATCTGAGGATAGAAACTACTGGGCAGGATGCTTTCGGAGCTGTGAATGTGGTTTGGATGAGAGTCTGGGTTGATTCATTTGTATTTTGATTTAGACGACAAGGATTGAGATTGAGATTGTGTTCAAGGATTTGGTTCTGACCTGAGAAGAAATACAGAAATAGGCCAACCCAATAGCCTAATAAATATTGGTTGCATAAGTGAAATAGTGCAAGGAATTCCTTCAAACCCTAAAAACTTTACTGATGAAATAGAGCCTTGAAAATCCAAGTACCAATGGATCATTCATATGGACCTAACCTGTAGCCTTTGGATCTGGATTTTGGGTACATGAACAGTGAGCCTAGCGCTGACTCTTAAACATTTCATGCTCAGTGGATTGGGGTAGCACCAGGGGCACTGAGCCTCATTGGGCCTTCTCTCTTTATGGCCTGTGCCCTGGGGAGCCAGAACACCTTGAAGCTATTCATTAGTAGTAGGATCCTCCATCCAATCTACCCTTCCTCAGATATGGATTTGAGTACAAGTGTACCCAAGTGCAGTACATGGCTTAACATTGTTTGTGTTTCTCTCTTACAGCTTCCATGTGTTCAAAATTCCCGAGGACTTCTTATGAGGGTGACTTCCTCATGTATGACTACTTCCTCTATTTGGGGTAGAGTCTATTGGAAGTACCTGGTCATGCTTAGTATGGGTACAGGATCCAAGCGGTTATTGAGGACAAGAGTAATTATGGTGAAGGGGCATTGCAGGACTCCAGACATGGAGAACTTGGCATCCAGTTGGAAATAGGAGACAATTGCTAGCACACTTGGGAGAAAGTGAAGGATCCGTTCAGCAGTGTAAAGCATATATTTGATTCTCTGGATATGAGGCACTGAAGCATGTACCAGGACCTTCTGGGGGTCAAGGGACAAGGACAAAGAAAGTCGACCATAGCCTCTGAAAAAGCATACCAAGGTAGAGGCAGATAAGTATACTTTTAAGTCCTGCCAAGAAATATGTGTTAAAACTCTGCTTTACCAAAAATGTTTTTGGGGAGACACCTCAAATAGGAGTCTTGAGTTGCTTGTATGCAACCAGCTAAATGGTATGGGTATGGGGATAGTCAGGAAGACCTGAGTTCAAATCCCTACCTCAGACTTTTATTAGTTATGTGTTCCTGGGCAAGTCACTTTGCCTCTGGGCCCCAGTTTACTCATCTGTAATATGAAGGATTTGGATTCAGTGGCCTCTAAGATCTCTTCCTATGATAGTATAAATCAAAAAGTGATTGAAAGTACTTTTAAAAGTATAATATTTTCTACTACTGCTTTTTTATATTGCTTTTGTGTTTGCAAACTATTTTATATTTTGATCCTCATGACTTGTGAGATAGTTAGCGCAAGTTTTATTACCTCCATTTTTCAAATGAGGAAACTGAGGCTTAGAGAAGTGAAAAAACTTTCCCAAGTAATAATACAATCCAGTCCTTTTGGCTCCAAGTCCAGGAATGTTTTTACTATATTGTAAAGGATAATACATTGTAAAAGGTTGAAGTAACCTGAATTGAGAGGTACCACATTGGGGCAGATGGTGCAATTATGTAAGCAGAGATCTGAAAGGCAGAGGCACATCCTTTGATGGGCTAAAATAGAAATAAGAAATTTGATGGCAGTTATTTTGAACATGTGGGAATGGTGGAAACTTGGGTAGGAATAGTGGAAAGAGGTATGAATGAAATGGCAGTGAAATGGTTGAGGGCCAGCTGCCATTAGGATATGAACTGGTTGAGGGCAAGAGTCTCTTTACTTCCCTTATAAGATTAGGGAGGAGTTGGGGAAGCTAGGTGGCACAGTGAATAGAGCACCAGCCCTAGAGTCAGGAGGACCTGAGTTCAAATCCGGTCTCAGAAACTTGATGCTACCTGTGTGATCCCAGGCAAGTCACTTAACCCCAATTGCCTCACCAAAAACAAAACAAAACAAAAAAAAACCCCACAATTACAAAACATTTTTCACACAAATAAAGCTAGATCTAAATAATCAGAAAAATATCAGTTGCTCATGGGTAGGCCGAGCTAATATAATAAAAATGGCAATTCTACCTAAATTAATTTACTTATTCGGCGCCAGACCAAACTACCAAAAAAGTATTTTATAGAGGTAGAAAAAACAATAACAAAATTCATCTGGAAGAACAAAAAGTCCAGAATATCAAGAGAACTAGTGAAAAGAAATGCAAGGGAAGGTGGCCTAGCTGTGCCAGATCTTAAATTGTATTATAGAGAAGCAATTGTTAAAACTACTTGGTCACTTACTAGCTGTGTGACCCTAGGCAAGTCACTTAACCCTGATTGCCTCACCAAAAAGCAAAAAAAAAAAAACAACAAACTACTTGGTACTGGCTAAGAAATAGAGTGGTGGATCAGAGGAATAGGTTAGGTATGTAAGACACAAGAGTCAATGACTATACTAATCTACTATTTGATAAATCCAAAGACTCCAGCTTCTAGGATAAGAACTCACTATTTAACAAAAACTGCTGGGAAAACTGAAGATTAGGGAGGAGGACAGTAGTTTATTTTCTCCTCCATCTTGTGATTGTTAGTTGAATCCTGTTCCAGTTCTCAGCTCCTTTCCTTGTGTGGTTTGTTGAAGGTGACGGTCATTAGAAAACACTTGATTGCCTTTCTCCTCAAACTCATACCAAGAATCTTCTTATTTCACAGCAGGACTATTGCAGGGCCAGGTCATCTCTCACAGGGAAAGAGTAATTCAATTCCGCGAATGTTCATTAGCACTAACTGTGCTTGTGTGCACTGTGCTCAGGTTGCATGAGATCCAGAGCTTGGCTGTTACATGGGCACAGCCTTCAGGAGGACAGCATGTATGTGTGTGTTGGGGGAAAGCAGTTTACACATACACAAATAACTTTTTGTTGGCTGTTCAGTCGTTTCAGTCATGTCCAACTCTTCGTGACCCCATTTGGAGTTTTCTTGGCAGAGATACTGGAGTGGTTTGCCATTTCCTTCTTCAGCTCATTTTTAGGCACACAGGGTTAAGTGACTTGCCCAGGGCACACAACTAGTAAGTGTCTGAGGCCAGATTTGAACTCAGGAAGAGGAGTCTTACTGATTTTAAGCCTAGTTCTCTATGCACTGTGCTACCATTCACAAATAACTACAGTACAATATAATACAAGGATACAAGTCCCAAGTGGCATGTGATGTCTAGGGGGATCAGTGGTGCTGACCAGGGATTGGAAAGTGGGGAAGAGAATCTGAAGCAAGTGATGTTTGAGTTAGGTTTTAAAATATGGGTCAGAGTTCAATAGACAGGTGGGATGGGAGGGGAATTCCAGTCATAAAGAGCAATGTGGAAAAAAGGGACAGAGGCAAGGAAGGAGGACATGTATGGGGGACAATTTATCCATACCATAGGTATATTGAGGGGAGTTAGATGAAACGAGGCCAGAAAGGCAGGATGTCGTCATATTGGGCGGGCCCTTGGATGCCAATCTGAAGAATGTTCCTCAGAAGCTGACTTTAGATCAGGCTCCATTGGAGAGCCAGTGGAGGGTTTTTTGAACAGGGGAGTGACATAAATAGATGTATGCATAATGAGGATTCGTGGCAATGTCGTGAAAGATAAATTGGAGAGAGGGGAAGCCAGAAAAGGGCAGACCAGGCAGGAGGTTATTGCAGCAATCCAGTGAATTACTGGGGTGGTGGCAACAAAAGTAAAAAGGAGGCAGAAGATGTAAGGCTTATTGTGGAAGTGGAATCAACAGGTCTTGTTAACTGATTAGCGAGAGAGTGGAAAGAGTCACAGAGAACACAAAAATTTTTAACCTAGGAGATAAGCTTAATTAGTGCCATTGGACACATCAGTGAAGTCAGGAGGAGAGAGATTGTGAATAAAATGTAGGCTATTGAGAAATCTCATGTGCGTCTGTAAGGGTGTCCCAAAAGTCTTCATATAGTTTTAAGCTAGTAAAGCTTATTTTAAAAAAATATTTTATTTTTTAAAGCTTTAAGCTATTGGAGTTGAAAGCTGCACAGAGATTTTTGGGTCACACTGTATTTAAGCAGCAACCAGGTTAAATTGGAAACAGGAATGGTGTATATGGTAAAGAAGCATTCTCTGTCCATCACTCTGCTGTCTCAGTTTAACCTTTCCAGTACCTCTCACACCCATCTGCAAAGCTAATGTTCAAATGTCATCTTTTATCATGTTTTCCCCTTGCTTAAGAGCCATGGTCTTCTTGCGGCTCGATCCAACAAATATTTATTTAGCACATACTGAGTGCTGGGCACTGGAGGGGACGGTATAGAGCAAGAGTGGGGAACCTGTGACCTCAAGGCCATATGTAGCCTTCTAGGTCCTTGGGTACAGCCTTTTGACTGAGTTCCTAGTTTTATAGAACAAATCCTTTTATTAAGGAGATTTCTTTTGTGAAATTTGGATTCAGTCAAAGGGCTGCACTTGAGGACTTAACGGGCCACATGTGGCCTTGAAGCTGCAGGTTCCCTACCCCTGGTATAAAGTTTGGGGAAGATGTGTCTCTTGCCTTCATAGAGCATATAATATAGCACTTAGCACAGTGAGTGGCATGTAGTAGGTGCTATATAAATTCTTGTTTCCTTCCTTCCTTTGTGTATGTGTCATATCCCCTTCTAAACTATAAGCTTCCTGAGGGTTGGGACTGTGTCTAATCAAACTTTGTTTCTTCTCTACAGTAGATACTGGATATATGTTGTGGTTAAATTGAATTGATGGGCTATATTTTCCATAAAGCCAGCTGCATATGCCTAAAGGAGTCTTCTAATAAAGGACATTGTGGAATCTTCAGTAATAAATACAGACCAAGAGTTAACTCAGTCTGAAGCTGGCACTTTTTCCTTGGTCTCCTGGCACTTAGGGGCTCAATCCCTTCTGTCCACCTCTAGCATATATATAAGCTTACCAAAGAGCGCTGAAAACTACTAATCAATCTCTGAAACCAATTTGCCTCTGCCTGGGTTTCTGAGTCCACCATTCACCTCAAATCACCACTTGTTTGCCCCAAACACTTTTAGCATCTCTTGCTTATAGCCAAGAAACTTGCATTCTCTGTAACACCTCCTGCCATTTGCTGAGTATAATCTCCACGCCTAACACATTAGTATAGTACCCCTTCCTTAAATATCTCTGTGTTTCCTTCCCTCTATACTGAATCACAGACTTTCAGAGTTGAAAGGGACTTTGAAGTGCATCTAGTCCCACCCCAAATCTGAACATGAGTCACCTCTGCAGCACCCCCAACAAATGGCCATCTTTGCTCCAATGAGGAAGAACCCACTACATCCCAAGGTAAACTTTTGCGCTTTTAGATAACTCTTATTACTTGGAAGTTTTTCCTTACATCAAGCCTCTAACATTCAAACATTGTCCCTAGTTCTGCCCTTGAGGCCAACCAAAATGAGTCTAGTGCTTCTTCTGTATGATACCCTCTCAGGTACTTGATGATAACTACAGCCTCCCTATCTCCCTATCTCCAGGTTTAACATACCCATTTCCCTTAATTCAGGGATTTTTTTAACCTGGAGCCCATAAACTTTTTTTTTATAAAATATTGTGATAAATATATTTTAATATAATTGATTTCCTGTGTAATCTTATGTATTTTATTTTATGCATTTAAAAACATTATTCTGAGAATATGTCCATAGGCTTCACCAGACTATCAGAAGGGTCTATGACACAAGAAAGTTTAAGAACCCGTGCTTTAACTGATCCTTGTATGGCAGAATCTCTGGGCCTTTCACCAGCATGGTTGCCTTCTTTTGGATACTAACCAGCTTATCAGTGTCCTTCCTAAAATGTAATGCTTAGCTCTATAAATGTTGTTGACTGACATGACTGACAAATGCAAATTTGGCAACTAGGGGTTATGTAATGAAGCACTGAACCTGACTGGGTACAGAAATGTGCTAAGGCACAGTTTTGTGGATGTGCAACGTAAGAACATTTCTTCTTTCTTTTCTACTTAGTAAGTATTAATAAAAATAAACATTCAAATGTAAAAACAAAAATGAAGAAAATGAAAAAATAGTCCTATTATTTACAGTTTTTTAAAGTATGTATTTACAGTTAACAAAAAAGTCTAGCTTGTTTCTCTGCCCCATTTTGAACTTTTACAAAAAAAAGGAGACCCTTTCTAACAAAAGAGAACTCAAGACACTGGACCTTTGAGGGGCAGCCACGTGGTGCAGTAGATAGCCTTGGAATCAGGAGAACCTGAGTTCAAATCTGGCCTCAGACACTTGATACTTACTTAGCTGTGTGACCCTGGGTGAGTCACTTAATCCCAATTGCCTCACCAAAAAGCAAAAAAAGAGAGAGAGAGAGAGAGAGAGAGAGAGAGAGAGACTGAACCTTTCTTGGCTGCCCACACTGCCACAACCCACAGTTGGACAGATGGGGTTAGTGAGTGCCCTACTTTTCACCTTTGACCCTTCTGACATACACAGTCTAATATAAAGTTCCTATATGACAGAGTGCTCATCCTATGTTCCATCTAACTGTGCTTCTTAAACTTTCCTTGAGACACTTCCCCATTTAAGGAATTCCTGAAGACTTGTTAGAGGGGCAGGTACAACTCCTTCTACAGGAAGGAAAAAGCCATGGGGCACAAAGACTGATGGAGGTGCTACAGCCATATCCAGTGTTGGTGCAGGAACCCAAGGGTTCATAGAGGACAGAAGGGTACTGAGTGTGATAAGGGAATGTTGCCATTCTCCCGACGTGGAAGAATTGGCAGCCAGGAGAAAACAGGAAAAAAATCACCAGTTCCACAAAAAGAGCCAGACAGTTCTAGGAGATAGTGAAGGATCTGTTTAGGACCATTGACAGTTTGTTGTCTCTTCAGATAGCTTGCACTGAAGCCTTTACCAGGATCCTTCATGGGAAATGACCAATGGGCAAGGACCTCCACCACAGCTTGTGTCCCTGGAAAAGCATCCTGTCAAGTATTCCAAGGTGGAGACAGGTGAGGTCACTTTTTCCCAGAGTAAAGTATAGAAATGTTTCCTGTTGGCCACCAACATGATTATGCCTTGTCTCTCCTCCCTTTCTTTGCCTCCTAAGCAATGCCTCTCTGGGGGAATCAGGGTTGTTCTCATATCAGTTTAGCTGTTATAGGGGATAGGACATCATAGGGTTGTCTCCTAGGGCCTGATTCAAGGACTGGAAGACCATAAGCTATAATACCTAATGATGGCACAGAGCTGGAGCCCCAGTTCAACTGGACTGAAAAAGGGGGACCCACACTAGTAGGTGTGCCCCTTCTCCAAATCTCATCTTTGGTCTCTTTCCTCCTTTTTTTTTCCATTGGCCTTTTCTCTTCCCTCTTCCTTTTTTCCTTCCCTTCTATCTCCTTCTCTCCCTTTGGACAAGAACTAAGTCCTGAGACGGCTTTCCTCATCCTCACTTCAGGCTTTTGTTAGGACACAGAAAAGGAAACCTTTCTTTCCCTTGTATTTTAAAGTAAGGCAATTTACAGAATCAGAGAATGTTAAAATTTGAATGTTAAAATTTAACTGAATCCATTCATTTTAAAGATAAAGAGATTGAGGCCCAGAGAGGAAAAATGACTTGTTCAATTTTGTGTAGAAATAAGTAGCAAAGACAGTCTTAGTCTTCCCAGTCCAGCTCTCCCCTATACTGTACTACTCCAAGTACATCTTGGTGAATTTACGAAAAGGCCATGGTCTGAAAAGGTGTGGGTGGCACATTGAACCAGAAACCAAGTAGTGCCACCATTAAGTTGTATGAGTTATTTCATCCCTCTGGGCAAAGCTATTCTATCTGTAAA